CTCCAAACAAAATATCCTCAATATTTGGTGCTCCCGCGACCTCGTCAACAGTGGCGAAGAAGGCAGGTTCTGTGGTGAAAACCGACTGAAAAAACTCAGCAAAATGTTCTGCTTTGTTATTACAGTCGGAGATTTCGAGACCATCATCACTTTGCATAACAGGAATCGAGTTCCTATTACGTGTGGTCTGCCTTAAATAGCTGCATAGCAACTTCGGATTTTTGACACCTCGACAAAGTAACTCGCTCTCAACGTCCTGTCGTCCTTTGAAAACCATTTTTACCTCGCTCCGCTGGATTTTATACTGTTCAAAGGCTTCATTGCGGCTTGTTTTGCAAAACTTCTTCCAAAGCTTTCCTTTTTTTATTGATATCTCCTTTTAGATCTTTTTTCAGCCACTGAGGTCAGTTAGAAATCTTGGACACTGATAGTGGAAAATGACTTTGCATTAGATGCAACAACCGCTCCTTGAATTTATTCCTGTCCTCAGGGACATCCCCGGAGAAAAGAAGACCCCAGTCTATTTGTGATGCCTCTACTCTCATTTGAGAGAAGTTGCCTCGCCATATATTAGGCCTTGGTTCATATACTATAGGGGGTATCGAATATAGACCATAATCCCACGAAAGTACAGCCTGATCAGTTCGACCAAGTGGAGATAGGCAACATACCTCGTCTAAACTGTCGGGATGCTTGGAGAAGACTAGGTATAAACAACTAGCCTGTTGCCCTCCATTTGCTCTAGTTGGAACGAGGACGTGTTTGTGAGAAGTCTCAAGTGTTATTTTGAGAAAATAGGGATCAAAGGCGTTTTTAGAACAATTCGCCCGCATTGAAGTCACCCATAATTAAAACATCAGGTCGACTACCTATCTCCCTTACGCACTGCAGTAAACACTCTGCATCAGTATCTGTCCGCGGTGGTCGGTAGACGGTCACGGCTTCCAGGGGCTGCGACCCTACCGCCTTAATTGGCAACCAAATAGCCTCCATACCATAGGTAATTCTTTCAGTCCTCCCGCCCACACTTAACTCGCTCTTTACATGCATAGCAACTCCTCCACCCTGGCCATCCACTCGGTCTCGTCCATTATGTTTGATCCTCTGGTGGGAAAATCGACTACCTGCTCCTGCTGCCTCAAGTATGTTCTCAAACTTTGAAGGACCGGAGGGTGGAAACCATTTCATGTCAAGAAGATTGAAGTCGTCTTCAATCAAACAGTACTTAAGATTCAAGTTGGCTGCGGCATGAAATGCCCGCGAGAGACCAAGATCGTAGTTCACACTGGCATTGGGTGGGTGATAAACACAGCCAACGAGTAAGGAGTAGTTATTCTTTAGAAAAATTCGGAGCCAGCAGTACTCCTCTACTTTAGTGCGATATCCCTCTCGGTAGCCAAAACGCATGTTGATCACAGTTGATAGTGAATAGAAGCTCTGTTCTTTCTCAGAGGAGAGTTGTTGCATGGCGCGGGTTGCTGATGGAAGGGAAGGCGAACGACCTAGGTCGATGTTTATTTCCACCTGGAGAGCCGGTTAATGGCGGCATCGAAGATGTTTGCTAGGCCGTCGAGGGCCCCTTTGAAGTGCTCGGTCCAGGCATTAAGAACCTGTGCCTTCTTAGTTAGAAGGGCCGTTCTGTCAGGGTTTGAAAATGGCGTTGTTCCCTTAGCTTTGGGAACATAGACAGCCTTGTTCGCTGCGAAGACGTTCCATTATCCTTTGCGGTCTAAAGAAGATATAGCCGCACCCAAACATTTCTGGTCCCGCTTTATGATGATGTAATTTTCTGGTATGGTATTTCAAATTATTTTCAAGGAAAATTACTTAAGTATTTCGATGATAATCCTGGTGAAATGCCATTTAAAATCCCAAAGCGTACTTAAATTAGGCTTTCATTTCTTGCTATATGAGGTATTTTGACTTCTGCTTACGTCGGCAGATCCACAAAGGTTAGAGTAAAGATATCTGTTTCATGTTTTTAAACCTGTCAGACCACTGTGCAACATATTCCGGTGACTTAAGTCTTTCTCCCTTATTTCGGCTTAAATTTTGAATTTTATGTTTGGCTTTTGTGTAGGCTCTGATACTTAGTAGACAAAGATATATAAAGTTCCCTATATTATCATAATTTTGGCCTTTAGAATTTAGGAACTTGTACAATTAGTTAATTTGAGCCACTTAATTAGGATTGGTGCATATTTCGAAGTGAGCATAATTTGATTGTACCCCATATGCATAACATTGTTTGCGATTTTTGGGTCATGTGTGCGTGGAGAGAGAGAGAGCCTATTAGTACTATGTAAGTAAAGTAGCTGGGAGGGCGGGTATAATGTGCAACCAAAAA